AGTTATCGCAGCTGCCAAAGAGACTCACCCAGAGGCGACACCTGATTGCCGCCGGACAGTCTCTGATTGCATGTTGACATACTTTCGTTGGTCTTGATAATTTTCACACAGAAATATCAAGACACAAATAAAACATTCAAGTACACATTAAACTGAGTTTGGACTTGAAACAAGCGTTTCCTTTCAGCAAATGAATATTTAAGAGAATGACTGAAAGCCATCTGCATGAATGCATGGAAATTGCATGTTTTAATGCCCGCACAGCGGCACCGCTATAAAAAATAGCACAAGTCGTGGCTTATCAAACGAATAGCATTGCGTTGGCCTTACGATGCCCCCGAGAAGTCGCCAAAAAAAAGTTTACATTCACGGTTCGCCGGTCACCGAAATATTGCACTTTATATATCATCGGGGATATGCAGAGTAGACTATATATAACAAAATATATATAAATATAAAAAATAGGACAAATATATATAAATTATGTGCCTTATAGTGGTTGCCTGCTGCTCTTTTATTTTTTATGTTAGGTATATAAAGTTTATAGATTACGTTATATAAGAAGTAATACTAACATAAGTAAATGTTGGCTTAGAAGCTATACGCCTCCTCCTCCTTGCAATAAAATAAACCGCTTTACATACCAAATCAAGTATCGCGACCGACCCATATTAGAGACTAACTCATAGTTGTGGCTAAGATTGCTAGAATACATTAAAGAGTGAGTAAATTCCATCTATTATAAATGCAGAATCATTCCTGGGATTCAACCAGAGATTGCCAAATTAAAGAACTTTAGGGTCCAAGGTATATTTGGCCCTCTAAATTGTGCTTAGCCATTTGGCATGAGGGTCGCGTTTGTCTATTTGGCTACACCACAGCGAGAAAGGGAGTGAGAGAAAGAGAGAGATAGAGATAGGGAGAGCGATGCCTTGGACTGGCTTTTTGATTTCTGCACGTTGCCGTTGCTCGCTTTTTGCTGATTTAGTTTTTCCTGCCTGCTACGAGGATTTGGTTTATTGTTTAGACGACAAATTGCAAGATTTTCGTTTTGTTTCACTGCGCTGCATTCGGGTACGTGTCCTGTAGAGGCAACAGCCCAAGTGCCTGATTAAACCCGGGCAGACAGAGTTCGCTGCCATTGTCTATTTGCGGTACACAAAAAGTATTCGATTTCTTTAACGATGACATGATATCAACCCACTCGAGCTGCACGGCATGCAAATGGGCAGACAGAGCAAATTTGAGATATGTAGAGAAATACATGCACACATGCATCTGCATGTGGGACTAGTTGGCTCCGTTAGCTGGCATGTTTGTGATACGTGAATCCCATTCGTTGGCTCCGAATCTAACGAATACATATCACAGAGCTCTTTACAGCTAACCAAGTCAATAAAGACAACCTGACAGACAACAGAAGGTGAAAAGAGTTCAAAGTGGAGGTTGGTTTCTAATTACAACTAAGGACGTTCACTTTATGCCATCTCGTGCTGCTCTAAGATTTCTTATAAAAAGTAAACTTTTCAAAATATATTTGTGTATTTTTTATTTATGTATGCCAATGCTCGTTCTGAGTGATTATTTATGGCTTCTCCATAGCTATATTGAATACTGCAATTCGATTATCTCACAAGCTGTTCGGGCACTTAATCAACAGCTGGCCAGCGTTGACTTTTCGCATTATTTGGCTAAATTGTGCACCCAAGTCACGTTATGCTCGCCAGCCACATAAGTGGACCTACAACTAATTCAATTTGGTTCCATTGAGAGTTGTTTAGTGCTCAAACGTACAAATTTGGGGCCGTCGAGCGATGCCGACACTTTCAATAGAACTCACATTTTGGTCTCTAAAAAGAAAGAGAAAAATAAAATTAGACACTTAAGTAATAGGGCTGAATTTTGAAAACACAAACTGCTCAAGTTTTTGGCACATAATTTCCATAAAATGTTGGTTAGGTGCAAGCGAGAATCTATGTAAATGTGTGCCCACATATGATGGCATGCAGAAACAGTTGCCACATTTGCGCTGCATTAAAAACGCATTTTCATTTTCGTCGTCAGCAGGTTTAATAGTCTGTGCAACAATGTGCAATGCGTGTGCATGTGGTGGTGCGCACAGGAGCGAAGTCACGCAGTCACGAATGAATATTCACGAATGCCGATGAAATGACATTTCAGTCTGCAAAATATGAGAAATGTCAATTAATTTGACAGTGCTTAAATTTGACGCTTGTCCGAAAGCAGTCTAGTAGTCCTTGAATTTGCTATCTGAAGAAAAAATTCCAATTTCTGCCCATCCCAAATAACAAAAATGGAGAAAAAACCAACGCTTAAGAGAGCTCGCGCGAACACCATTTGTGAGGATATCGTGGAAAGGAAAAAAGCCAAATTAATTAATACTGCCACTCCGAAGGCAGGGGCCAAGGCCGGTAAGTGCCGGACATCCATTAAAGGGTTAGGCTGTAATACAAAAAATAAATTAGTTGCAGAGCCACATCAATCGAATCGCCGAAAAACGCAATATCTGCCTGAGTTGCCTGAGAAAATTGTCCCTGCAAAGAGTAGGCGTCAGACCATAGATGTGCTTGCTGTGGAGAATGCAAAGAAACAAGAAGGTAACCAGAGCTATCCACATCCGGTATCAAAAAAGTCTAAGACCCTACAAGCCTTGACAGCTAAACAATCATCTGCAACTAAATCAACGGAGCCTGAGAAAATTGTCCCTGCAAAAAGTAGGCGTCAGACCATAGATGTGCTTGCTGTGAAGAATGCAAAGAAACAAGAAGGTAACTAGAGCTATCCACATCCGGTATCAAAAAAGTCTAAGACCCTACAAGCCTTGACAGCTAAACAATCATCTGCAACTAAATCAACGGA